TTTTCACCGTGATTAGATGGAGCTATGAAGAATCGGTTCAATAACCAATTCTTCAAAATTGAATTTGAATGATTCCACTTGGTTACATTGTGCTGCCAATGGCTGTCCCAAGGACGTCCTCAGAGCAAATATGGGACGTCCCTGTGATTTCCATGAGTTCTACATGTTTAGAAAATAGTACAACCTCGGGATGTCCCTGGGATGTACTTGGTCGGAATGGGAAGGATGAGATAAAAAATTTCAAGGGATAAAATAACTAACCAGATTTGATTTCTTATTGCTTGAAAAACAACATGCATGTTCATACAGAAAGAAATGAATGAAAAGAGAGAGAGGAAGAACGAGAGAGAAAAATATTTCTTCAGGAAGGTTGTGCAGCCTGAAAATATCGTCAAAAAATTTCAAATACGCCACTGCAGTCTGCATCTTTTTATCTTCGTGATCTTCACCCATTATACAGTTTTTATCAGAGCAATCTTCAAATTCTTCGAGCAAGAAAGTTTACAGACTTATGATGACTATCTCCAATGATATAATGGCTGTTAGTTGGTTGTAAATAAAGAGTTGTCACGAGTTTTCAATTTATACAGATCATTTGACTATATTTTTGCGCATGCGTCATTTAATAATGAATGAAGATAAACTAGTGAAATATCATACGAGAAGAATGTTTATCACGAGGATCAAGTTACATTGCAGAATCATTGATTCTTCCTCATGTCTAGAAATTTTATGCAAGTTAGAAATATGAATTTGAATTCGATAGTTCCGATCTTTCTAAAGACCTTGTAGAGAAACTGATATTCTTGAATGGGCATTCCATCCTTATTACCTATTCATTTTTGGAAATTAGTTTATAGTACCTTTATTTTATGTAGGCACTATCTAGAAATATTATGAAACCATTGGACGATTGGACATATATACCATATCTACGTGTATCTTGGGATCGCCTTGTTTGAGGCCAAGCATTTCTTGCTCAACTGGACACCCCATGTTGACTCTTTGTGTAAAAGACTATCATGCCAAGTTTTTCTTTTACGCAAATTGAAGAGATCCGTGAGTGTCGATGTTCAAAAAGTGTCGTATTTCGCACTATTTCACTCTCATATGAGTTATGGAACCCTTTTATGGGGGAACTCTTCTCAGGCTTCACGTGTTTGCATAATGCAGAAAAAGGCAGTCCGAATAATTGCTGAAGCAGATCCAAGAGAATCATGTAAAACAATATTCATCAATCTGACCTCACCGTCAGTTTTCATATATCAAAGTCTCCTAGACAAACATTCACACTTAGAAACTTACACTGCTCATAATTACATAGATAATTACAATACAAGACGTAATAATCATTTGTTGAATCCTAGACATCGTTCAGCAGTATCCGCACGAAACTCCTCCAATCTACGGCTTCACAATAAAGTACCAGACCATATTGAAATCATGAAATATGAGAAATTCAAAACTGCTATAAATCACTTGTTATTGAACTACGGTTTCTACACAGTCGAGGAATACCTCACCACTCATTCCTGATATCACATGACTCATCACACAGAGAATCATGTCCTGATAATATGTTTTCTGTATCTCAATCAAAATTGTTTTTCCACTTGTATTTCAGATTCACATGTGTATGTTATTTTGACCTGCTATAAATGTAAGTCATGGAACCCATCCATCCTTTCCTAAATGGGTCCAAACTTTTTTCCAAAGAAAAAAGAAGGAACAGAATAACACCAAGTTGGTCTTCAGACACATCAATACACAGTACCTGTGAAGATATTCAGATCATCAGGTTCAACATTGGCACAAAATTGGGAGAAGCATGCTTTCAAATCACTCAAACGAGTTTCAACTTCAAATGCCATTTGTGAAAGACAGAAGCCAAGGAAACTGCGAAGCGTCAAGAATAGCAACAGACGTTGACACAATGACAAGACAAATGCCAGTGACAAATGATACAAAGCAAATGACATGGACAAAAAATGCCATAAATGTGCTACGTACATACGATAGTCAATAAACATCCATCAATCTATCTACATATCTTTCGATGGAGCTTGTCTCATTTTCATAGAATATGCTGAAACGGATTCGCAATATTGATTAATATCATTTCATCCAGTTTCTGTCAGTGATATCAGTCTACACGCAGTGATATTACATAATATGGTATATTTTCCATATATTTATGCGTTATGAAAAGAAAATTCTGACGTTCAATTTGTAAACCGCGAAGTAATGCATTTTTTGTCGACTCCATTAATCTAAACGACACCTTCACTAATGTAATAATAAATTATAATTATTATATTATAAGGTTGAGTTTTAACTGATGAATGAAGAAGCATATCCTTTTACGTGGTCTGACATTTAAATGTACTTTGCCGGATATTTATTATTTATGTTGAGCAATGGCACAGAGTAAGGAATATACCAGACGTTGAACAGGATTTGAATTTATCGTAATCAATAAACTTATGAGGAATTGATCGTATAATGTTTTTATTATTTTTTAACGCTGTTGATTTATGACAGTTTTTGTGAGAATACCGCAGGTAACTGGAAAATGTGCCTATTACACATACTTGAACGTTATTTTCACAAGCAATGTAATTAGAAACAAGGTAATGGTTATTGGGTTCAGAAAAGTTATGGTTTGATTCTTTTGTCACAGAAACAACAAACAAGGTACTTAGTAATTATTTCTATATCGAACTTTATCATTCTTGTTCACTCATCTATACCGGGTGATACTGACTCATGGTATACCCCCTCTTTTTCTCTGTTTTTCTATTAGCTATATTTGTGGAATCTGGAACATCGAATATGCTCACTAGAGGGCACTTTCTCATATTTCAGGATTTTTTCCATCTTCCTGAAACATCCTGTATTTTATTCAATAATCGGTCAGAGATTTTTATAACGAATCCAACGATACCGGGTTTGATTCGCGTTTGAAGTTTCCATATACAGGGTAACTCACGGTCGATGGTACGTTAGACGTTTATGGCGAACGCAACGCAGGATTTTTCTGAAAATTTTGCATCTTACATTTTATCACCTGTTCTATCGATCTAAAATATTTTCGAAATTGCGACGTTGCCGTTTCTATCAAAAAGACCTAGCAATTTGATTTTTTAGATGGAACACCCCGTATATCAACAAATTTTTAGGATTGCCTTCTTATTACAATACTCTTTTGTTAATGAATCCCTACACCTATCTCTAATGGTTTTCGAGATGAAAAATAATTTGTGTTGAATAAAACATATCCCTAATTAAACTTATGTAAATCAGGGCTCTCGAATCATGAAGAGTTGATATTTCAGTGGTGGTTTGGACAGGCTTGATGTATTCAAATTACACCTACTCCGCGCATTGTTATGTGAAATAAATATATATATTTCAACTTTATGGTCCTCAATCGAGCAAACATCTATTCTGCATGTTCAACAATAACTTTGTTTTATCTCTTGGAGCGCACGATAGGAAATTCCTATTATGTTCGTGAAACATCGTGCGTACCTAGGGAGGAAAGGAGGAAAGCCTTCAAGCCAGTTCAACACTATTTTTTATATCAAGCAAAGCATATTTTTACTTTAGAACTAGATTTTTTGACGTTTGTAGGAAAAATATTGTTTGCAACTCGAGCGCGAAATACTTTGGTCATCTCGACTATTTTTTTAATTTGGCTACGCCTCGTTGAAAAAAATCAGCTCTCGATCACCAAAGTAGCATTTCGCGCTCTAGATACAAAAATAACTATCGGATCATCAACTGAAAGATTAGCTTCATTTCTACATAAACGAGACTTAAAAGTAGCATATAGAACAAATGACACGTTGGGAATGTTCATCAAAAATAATGAAGACAAAACTTCTAAATTCGAAAAATCAGGGGTATACAAACTCAACTGTGGATCTTGCCCTAAGGTATATATCGGTCAGACAGGTCGTACGTTTGATCAGCGCATTCATGAACATGAGATGAATTTTTTGAAAAAGGAAACAAATTCAACATACGCCAACCATATATCAGAAAAGAACCATAGTTTTGATGACAATTTCGAAATTCTACACGTAGAAAATGGAGGAATAAAACTGAATCATTTCGAATCATTAGAAATCAACAAACTCAACGATCAATTAGACCTCAATAGTTCACCACTGTTGAATTTGTTTTCCTAGTAGGTGATAATATGTATTTCCTATCAACCCTTTCAAGTTAATCCGTTACACCGTATTTCAATGTAGATATTGTGCCTATTTTCCGAAAATGAAGGTTTATCGAACCTTTCCACAGGTGATTAAAATCCTCCAGGTTGGGAAAGTAGAATATATATAGAAGTTTAGGCGCAAGCCAAGGTTAGTTTATTTCATTTCAATATAATCTTAAGTTAAGCTCTAGTCTTATCACATGTGAACTATTGTGATGTCTTATACTTATACGATCGCTCTCTCAGCACGAAAGATGAAAGTCGAATCCAAAAGCTTCAGAATTCGTGTATCAGGCTGATCTTCGGGGTACGAAAGAAAGGATGGTCACATCAGACACCTATTCAAACGCATAAAATGGCTAAAAATGAAAAACAGAAGATATATGCACTCTGCATATTTATACAAAAAAATCACAACCGACAAAACTCCGCCATATCTTCATGAGAAACTGAAATTCCGTACAGATGTTCATAACCTCAATATCAGGTCTGAAGGAACCTCAACAGTACCCCTACATAAAATAACTCATTTTCAACGCTCATACCGTTACAGTATTACCAAAATTTATAATGAACTACCATCAAGAATTAAGTACTCCACTGCTAGTGCATTTAGATCCAGATTACTCGAATGGTTACTAAGTCGTCAATAGTTGCTATAGTTTTGAATATGTGAAGTCTTTTACCAATGATTACATACAAAGTGTTTTTTTTTCTTTCCTCCTCAATTTCCTTATTATTTCTCGTAGATGTCTATCTGATTTCTTTATCTTTACAGGATATGGTGGAGATGGTTACTACAACGATATTTATGATGGCTATGGATATGTCGACCGTTATGATGTGAATGGGTATTATGGAGATGCCAATGGGCAGAGTTATTGAGATATGGATCAAACCAAACCTCTTCGATGCCAAATATTCGAATTATAATTTAGTTTAAGTATCTTAGAATTGATGGACACATTTTTGTGGAATCTGATTTTGAATATTAGTACGGTGTAATTAGACCTAAACCTCAACATCCAAAGTAAAAGTTTTCCACCAACACCAAATTGCTCTACATAGTCCCCTTACTCTATGGTAGAAAGTTACACGATTTTGAGCGTCGGGTTTGGGGGTGAGGGGGAAGGGAATTTGAAAAATCACTAGTTTTCTTAGTTTTTCGTAAATATTTCAAAAACTAAGCGGTTTATCCTAAACATTGTTATATACAAAAATGTTCTACGTTGAATTTCAAATAAGAATGGTCCTTTTCATAATCACTCTAAATTGTACGGTTCAAGAGTTACAGACGGTGTAAATGTTAACTTTTTCGTAATTTTGATAATTTTTAAAAAAAATAAGCTTCGTAAAAGAATGTTGCTATTTCAGTGGCCGGTGGTATGTTAGTGATAAGCCCTTGAAGGAACGACAACGTCACCACCTCATCAAGGGGCACTCTTTTTTAAGGGAAAAGAGGCTTCCACAGGCCTAGGCCATATAAACCTGTGGTACGGAGAAACCCACCCTGAACTTTCTACGAACATTGCAACATAAAAACACTTCTCAAGCATAAATATCTTAAAAATTTGGAATGTTCAATGTCTTTATTAACTTCACTCATCCTCCAGCACATTATCCTCATCCTCTAGCTCGTCGTCTAAGATGTTATTATTGTCCATGTTATCACATGCTTGGCCTGAGCAATTGCTGCATATGCTAGTGCAGTTTAGACCACTACTTCTGCATTCACAATTACGAACGCATTCATCTTTGCAAGTACACATTATAAGGGACAGTAATTCCTGGGGGCTGCAGGACGTGCTGTTGTAATTGGTGTCAGGTGGTCGCCAATCTTCTTCCAACCCCACTCGAGTGGATCCTTATCTTCATTCATCCACTGTTGTACCTGGTGGTAGGTCCTAAATGAATGCTGTCTGGACGCTCCTGAAGTGGGGGGTAGTGCATCCAACTTCAGTAATGCATGTATAGGCTGCTTTGCAATCGCAAACGTGTGTTATTGGTGATGACATGGACTTATTAGTACTGTTGACTGTCCACGCACCTTCAGGGAATAAACTGAAAATGGTCGTACCTAAAAAAGGAAATCACCAGGAAAAAGTGTACATTATTTCTGACATTCAGCAAGGCATTGGGGATATGAAAGATGTACTTCTGGTTACATACGCCTTCACAGGATGTGACAGTGTGTCTGCTGTCTATAAGGAGGAAAAAATTGCACCTTATAGGAAAGTTCAAGCCAACAACGTTCTTCGTGAAAATCTTCTGGTCTTCAACAACCCCAAAGCCGACCCCAGTGCAGTGGCTGATGCAGGAAATTACTTCCTACTTGCAATGTTTGGAGCCAAGAACACTGAAGATATAGATTGTCTCCGCTATACCAGTCCTACTTGAAAGCGATTGCAAAGCAGCCTATACATGCATTACTAAAGTTGGATGCACTACCCCCCACTTCAGGAGCGTCCAGACAGCACTCATTTAGGACCTACCACCAGGTACAACAGTGGCTGAATGAAGATAAGGATCCACTCGAGTGGGGTTGGAAGAAGTTTGGCGACCACCTGACACCAATTACAACAATTGTGAATGCAGAAGGAGTGGTCTAAACAGCACTAGCATATGCAGCAATTGCTCAGGACAAGCATGGACAATAATAACATCTTAGACGACGAGCTAGAGGAGGAGGATAATGTGCTGGAGGATGAGTGAAGTTAATAAAGATATTTAACATTTCAAATTTGAAAGATATTTATGCTTAAGAAGTGAATTTATCTTGCAATGTTCGTAGAAAGTTCAGGGTGGGTTACTCTGTACCACAGGTTTATATGGCCTAGGCCTGTGGGAGCCTCTTTTCCCTTAAAAAAGAGTGCCCCTTGATAAGGTGGTGAGGTTGTCGTTCCTTCAAGGGCTCATCACTAACATACCACCGGCCACTGAAATAGCAACATTCTTTTACGAAGCTTTTTTTTTTAAATTATCAAAATTACGAAAAAGTTAACATTTACACCGTCTGTAACTCTTGAACCGTACAATTTAGAGTGATTATGAAAAGGACCATTCTTATTTGAAATTCAACGTAAAACAATTTTGTATACAACAATGTTTAGGATAAACCGCTTAGTTTTTGAAATATTAACGAAAAACTGAAAAAACTAGTGATTTTTCAAATTCCCCCCCCCCCCTCCCCCCAAACCCGACGCTCAAAATGGTGTAACTTTTAACCAAACAATAAGAGGGTTATATAGAACAATTTGGAGTTGGAATAAAACTTTTACTTTGGATGTCAAGGTTAGGCCTTTTTTTAGGTTAATAACACCGTACTATATATCTAGGCAAGAGCGAATCCATGGATGATAGATGATGTCATTGAAAAAAGATCAACAAGTGAAATACGTAACAACCATTATACGTTTCAATCGTATACAGGGTGAGTCATTGAAATGGGAAAGTGAGATAGCGGCTTCGCTGTTTGAGATGGATGAATACAAAATTTTGTGATGGTCTATAGGTTCATGAGCAGCATATTTCTTGATCAATTTGCGTATACGAGGCGACTTGAATATGCGTGGCGTATCAAAGATATACTTTTCATTATAGGACACCCTGTATTTCATTGCATTTTCGGATTCTCCTTTGTGAGCTGATTCCATCAATACATATCACACTCAATATCTATCAGAAATGATTACAGATATATAGGGTGATAATGAAATACAGGGTGTCCCATAAGAAAAAGTATAACTTTGATACGTCACGCCTTTTGAGTCACCCAGTATAACGTGAAATATTTTTGAAATGCCGCCATTTCAATGACTCACCCTATATACCAAATTCAAATTCTTCATTTTCGAGTTTGATATCTTCAACCGTTCTGTTGTCAATACACTTCATTTTTTCGATGACAAATTTTTGCCAAGCACATGTTTGAATTGACTAAATCTTCTTATTTTGATCTTTATTATCATTTAAGGTGGGAGTGTTATGACACCCAGTATACGGTAACTTCACTAATGTTGTACTGATCCATTTTTTTGTCATTTATTCTCAGGGGTCTGAATAAGTAGATGATTCCAAATATGAAATAATATTTCAAGATAAGAGATGCGTTATGTTCATAAAAATGTGGCGTTCAATAACTTATGATTGAGACAATTTTGGATATCCTTATAATTGTAGATAATATACATATAAATATATTTTTATGTATGGAAGAAAATGAAATGAAACCTCCAAAATATTATTCCTTTTGCAGCATTTCGACATTTCACATGAGTGAAGAGCTGCGTTTTATTGCAGATCATACCAGGGGTACTAGAATGGGATTCGCAATTAAATTATATCTCAAACTAGTACCATAAAAATGTCGTTTCACTGATAATATTGATGGATATCGGATGTATGGTAAATATGGAGATATTGTATAACACGAGGTTATCTATCAATTTTCGGATATACTTCAACGTGTTCATATATTATACGCTATTGTACTTGAATATTATAAGATATATAATGTTTCTGTTGCTAACACATTCAATGCGGATAGCACGAGCTCATAAATATATCTCTTTTTCTCCATCTTTCTCTTCACTATTGTGTTTAATATCTGCACCCTATACTCTTTATAGGTATCCAGATATTTTTTACTTATTTTCTTTTCTTAGCCTCTTACCCAGAGTTGGAAATCCTGCCATGATCTTTTCAACCTTCACAAGATTGGTTTTCCTTAATAGCCATATCTAGAGGTTTCTCATACTGGAACATTTTCTTTGAATTTTCAGCAATACTTGATATGACATTTTGACACTTAATATTTGTTCATCTCCTGCAAAATATCTTTCTCGGCAACCGTCCGGGAAGTGCTCGCTTCCCGGACGCTTTTACAAAAAAAAGTTTTGTTGCACCAACAAAATAATTTTGGTCATTTTCTTTTTGTTGAATTAAACACAATTTTGCGAAATCAACAAAAAATATGTTCATTCCAAATGAGCAACCTAGTCAAAGAGACAAAATAATTTGATTGAAATATTTGCTTACTTGAACAAAAGTTTCATTTCATTCAACAACATTTATAGTTGACATACAACAAATTTTGTTGATCCAACTATTATCTCATTGTTCAATCATATGCATTTACGACAAAATTAAATCAATTTTGACAAGGATTTAACTGAATACAACATCATATTGTGTTGAGTCAACAATCATTTCATTGTGCAACCAATCAAAGGTTGTTTTCTATTCGACAAAATTGAATGAATATTTTGTTGATTCAACACATCACTATCAAGAAATATGTTGTTATTTCAAACGAATTACTTTGTTGAACAGAACCCATATAAACATTATATCAAACAAATATTTTGTTGAATGATTATCTAGTTGCATTTTTGCCACCAGGTGGCGTTTCTTCCAACCTTCTTACGCTTGCCTCGATTGGGGTGTACTTATACCTACCTAAAACATCCATTTATATAATTATATTAGGTTGTCCTAGGATTTCTTATAACGCTTATACAAGCTAATATAGTCTTGAATCAACTGAGGAAATTGATCTGTATTTTTTCTTAGTTTTTAAATTCATTATTGTTCTTTTTTTTAAATCATTCAGCATTCCAGAAATGTTTTGACATTCTTTCAATTTACCAATGAATATATAAGGCTATCTATAACACATGTCAAAAGCATGGGAATTGAAACGTCCAACGAAGTGATTGCAACAATGCAAAACGATATTTTTTTTAGAGGCGTACGAATGAATTCAGGTAGGTATATATCACGTCGCTGACATACGGTTGCAACAAATTTACATTCAATACATGAATTTCAGTAACGTGTTTATATAATTTACAATTGAAATTATCGGCATGAATCCACTGACATGA